CTTGTTTTTAAAACTATATATAAATTTTGTACCTCTAAACATTTGTGTATATATATATATATATATATATATATATATATATATATATATATATATATATACATAAGGCGCTAAAACTTTCTTCGATCAAGCAAGAAGAGTATTACTTCGAGCCTTGAAATGTACACACTATCTACATATTCACCTGCATTTTCACAAATTTGGCGTCTTATTAATCTCAGTTCCTTTTTCTGATGTTTGTTCATTGACCTCTGAATAGTTTGAAAATACCTCCCATTCTTTAAACTTCACTTCAAACTTAAAAATATGAAACAGTCCTTCACTGAAGATATTAGCTTGTTCTTCAGTTGAAACTCAATTGTAGATGCTCAGGTGGTGTAATGCATATCTGGTCGAAATCGCAATTCGTGTTCGATTTACAGTCGCGTTCCTTAAATTTACTCACGTGAGGATATTCTTGAGGAGGACTGAGTCGTTCTCCTCCCAACAACTATAGGTTAAACAGTAGAACTGGTATCTGGTAAATTAATTTTGTTCATAATAAAAAGAATCCTTAATGCAATACTCATTCGCAGAAAAAAAAAAAACAATTGTTCTTTCCAATCCAAAATATGTTTCAGCTTTAAACAAGCCACAAAGAGTTAAGTCGTAAAAATAATTATTCAGTTGTTTGCTGTTTTTTGTCGATCAGTGTATAAACCAGTGTTATTTATCCTTTTTTTTTACATCAGGGCACACTTGAAGAATAACTTAAACACTAGGGCGCACTTTCAATAGTAATAAAGAAAATTAAGTCATGAAATTTGAAAATAAAAAAAAATCTCCTGAAATAAGCATTTGTTTTTAAGACATCTATATAAATAATAGGAATGTCAGTGTGTCACACTTTTTCAACTTTACTCCTAAAGGCTGTAGCCCAACATATCATACAATTTTGAAATCAGGCCCACCCTGTGAGCAAATTAAAAACATCCTTCGACAGGAATCGAACCTCTATCCTTATACGGAACCGTTATATAGCCTGACGGGCTTTTACCGATTGAGCCACAGTCGACTGTTTCGGTTAGCGAGGTCGATTTTACTGTTTTTAAACTACAATCCTCCATGATTTATTCTCATACATTCATATCTGCTTGATGCATATCCAACTGTAAACAAATGACGCCAGACAATAAGAAATGGGCAAATTCTGACAATTATTTTAAGACATTTTTATGTTTATAAAATATAAATATTTATATTTATTTATAAAATAAAATAAGCTGACGACGCATATTTTCTATGAAAATTTCTCGGACATTCAGGCCGATAAATGTAGTTAATACTGTTTATTATAAACAGAGCATTTACTTAAATATTTGCATCTATAAAAAGAACGTATAAACATAAAAATGTCTTTATATATATATATATATATATGTGTGTGTGTGTGTGTGTGTGTGTGTGTGTGTGTGTGTGTGTGTGTGTGTGTGTGTGTGTGTGTGTGTGTGTGTGTGTGAAAAGTGTATATAAATATAAATAAATATATATATGTATAATTATATTCGCGGTACTTATTAGAAAGCGCTCAATATCAGAGATAGAGCTAACATATTTGGTTGGATAGATGTGAGTATGTGACCTTGGGTTTCACGCTTTAGCGATCGTCAGACATCGCTAAAGCGTGAAACCCAGGGGTCACAAACTCACATCTATCCAACTAAATATATATATATATATATATATATATATATATATATATATATATATATATATATATATATAAGACAAAAGGAAAACTTATCTTAGACGATGCGTTTCGTCCTATAGTGGACTTTATCAAAACAAATGTATAGGTTTTATTTTTCAACAAGTATTTATAAACAAAACGAAAATGTCGTTATGTTTACAGTTCTTTTAAATTTAAGAATGTTGGTAAATAAACTTCAGGCTAACTGAAAATTAAGGTAAACCATGGACGATTCTAAATGGTGTAATTTAATGTCTGATAATGTCTAATAATGTCTAATAAACTAAAGTGAGTAAATAATGTCTAGTAAACTAAAGTGAGTAAATATTGTTATTGTTAATTTTTTATGATGTAATTACTGTTTATCTTATTTTAGTTTCAGAAATTAATGTATTTAAATATTTCTAATAATATAAGGTTTTGAATTTGCCCGTTTTCTTTTCATTTTTAATTATTTTTATAGTCATGGCGGTTAGCTTGGGAAATAACGTATATCTTTTAGGAAAGAAGATATTTGAACAAATCCGGGGCGCAGGTTTATTTTCTGTTAAGATTCGATAGCGGCCATCGTAAGGGTTTTCCCTCAAAGTAAGTTACTTTCTTTTTTTTAATAGATGACATCCTTTAGACCGAAGTTATAGTTGAACTGATTTTTATGTATGAATTTATGCAATTGACAAAAGGTTCTGCGTAAGAGCCTTTTTTGATGATATATTTTTATATCACAGAAAGATATCAGAGAAAAATTAAAAATGGCAATGAGTAAGATAATTGGATTTACCTGTAAGAAAATAATAATTTGGTGTTACGAATATAAACAGAGAAAATATACACAATATAAAAATACTTGCTAAAGACATGAAACCATACAAACTACTACTTATAAGTAGGGTCAGCAGACAACTGAGTTTTCCTGGGACTGTTCCTCTTTCAGTTGTCTATCTTGGGGATATAAGTTATCAATAAGTGTATTTGGAAGGGAGAGAGAGAGAGAGAGAGAGAGAGAGAGAGAAACCTAGAGGTTAGGGAGACCTTCATCATGAAAGCATTTAATTATAAATAAAAAAAAACTATAATAAAACCTGAAAATTATTGTTATTTAAGGCTTAAACATTCTTTATTTTTATGTGCCATGTCCTTTCAGGACGTAGGCGATCATGGCTCTCCACATCCTTCTATCCCTTGCAGCTCTCAACAAGTTCCTTCCCTCTACCACCTCCACCAAACCACGTTCTGTCAACCACTTGCTTAAGTCCGCTTAGTATATCATGCGTTGTTTTCCCTTGTCTCTCTTTTCCTCTATTCGACCCCGTGAGTATTAGATTCTCCAGGCTCTCCTTCCTCATTATGTGTCCCAGAAACTTCATCTACTTCTTCCTGATGTTAAGCATAAGCCTCCTCCTTGTTTGCATTCTTGCTAAGGCCTCATCGTTGCTCACACACTTGGTCCATGATATCCTCAGCATCCTTCTGTTGAACCACATCTCCGTCGCCTCGAGTCTCTTCTTCATCTTTGAGGAAATCGTCCAACATTCGTTGTTGTAAAGAAGGACATATGTCATGTAACAGCTCAGTATTCTTTTCTTTGTTACCAAAAAAATTCTCCTATTTCGCAATAATCTGCCCAGTTTTTGGAATGTGTCCTTGGCCATCCCAATTCGTCTACGAAGTGTCGCACTTACGTTCCTGACCTGCAAATCGCATTTTAGGCTCATCCTTTTACAGAAGACCATGAATTCTGTCTTCTTGTAGTTTATGCTTAGTCCTTTCTTCTCACTCTCAATCGCTACCATCTGTAGTAAACAAGCTAAATATGTAGATATATCGTCCGTAGACTAAGGATGGACACATATATCACTGTCCGTCGCTACCTTCTGTACGAGATTTTGTAATTTCTTTTCAATGTCTGCTATCAGTACTGTGTTATCTGCGTATCTTATGCTGTTAAGATTGTGGCCGCCAATGCTAAATCCCGGTAGGGTTTCAAATTCTCTCAGAATTGCCTTGCTCTATAGGTTGAACAGGTCCGGTGAGAAGACGCATCCTTGCTCCTTTCTATTTTTGTATATTCACTGAACTCGTTCTCTATGCACATGCATGCATTTTGCTGCCAGTATAGGTTCTTGATTATTCTGATATCTTTCCCGAATATATCAAGGTCGCTGAACAGTTCCAGCAGATACTTGTGGCGTACTTTGTCGAAAGCCTTTGCGTAGTCTATGAAACATAGGTATACGTCCTTCTGCATTTGTATCGCTCTTTCTGATGATAATTTGAGTATGAATATCGTGTTCCTTTCTCCGGTGTCTTTTACGAACCCGTACTATTCTTGTCCTATCTCTAGCTTGATTCTACTGCATGCTCTATTCATCAGAATACGGATAAAACATTACAGCTTCCTTAAAGTAAACATTACAAAGAAAACGAGGAAGTTCAGGGAATAGTTATATGAAAAGTGCTTTCTCAACAGTAATTTTTATTGTTTAATGTAGAGCTACATTGGACGAACCTAACAAGTAGATTAGAAGATTATTAAATGATAGAAATAGTCAAACAAAGCGACTTAGAAGACGACAATAGAGAGGGAGTAATGTTTATGCTAGTACTGTGGGCAGTAAAATTATAAATCCCTTCAAATTTTATGGTATTTCGAGATAAATATAAATAATTATTTTTAATAGGGATTAATCTTATAAATTTCAACGCAAACGATACATTCCACACATATAAGTATTTCCTGAAAATGTTACCAACATTCGATGATTATTATTAATTGTTTTGCGAAATTATTGGCTTCTATGATATCATCTGCCATAATGTACGTTGCTTAACTGGAGTGAAGATTTTCTATTTTTCTTAAAATCTATACCGAACAGTTTGTTTGTGGATTCTTTATTACAAGTATAAAAGCGGAGTCTATGATTGTCATTCGCCAGTCGGATGAGATGTCTATATATTTCGAAAGACTTTTCAAAGAATTACAACTGTTAATGAGAGTTCAATAATGTTTATATCTTTTGTGCTGGGCACAAAATATCTCTGTGTCAAAAACATTTATTCTGATCACACAGCGATACAGAGAATATACAATAGAAAACCTATCGCTTGCTTTTGAGGTGCAACCATCGAAACAATTTGTTTTGTTCACGTGCCAATGTTAAGATGGTGATATTAGGATGTGCTATTGAAAATTTGAATAGCAGGAGTCGAACCTAATACGTACTATTAGAGTTGCTATTTGGAAGGTATATATTGTATTTTGTTTATTTCTTTAGCCCGTTGTTGTAAGATAGATAGATAGATAGATAGATAGATATGAACAGACCAAGATAGATAGATATGAACAGACCAAGATAGATAGATTGTGATTTTCTAAGCCCGGCTTAGATGTAGCACAAGGCCGAAAGTATGGGGCACCCAGTGAGGATCGAACTCACTACTCAGTCGCAATTGATTTAGCAAGACAAGCTTTCTAACCATTACACCACGTCGAGGTACCCTAAATGATTTTCTAAGCGCAGCTTAGATGTGGCACAAGGCCGATAGTATGGAGCACCCAGTGAGAATCGAACTCACTACTCAGTCGTAACTGTTTTAGCGAGACAAGCTTGCTAACTATTACACCACGTCGAAGTGCCCATCCAAGATAGATAGATAGATAGATAGATATGAACAGACCAAGATAGATAGATAGATAGATAGATAGATAGATAGATAGATAGATATTGCTTTTTAATAACGTGTCTTGTGGTTCCACTAAAACGATTCTAGAGTAGCATACTAACCACAGGAAATGGGAAGCCTTAAATGAGCCAGAAAATAGGATATTTTCCCAGAAAAGGTGTCAATATATAATCACGAACCAAAGTACTTTCTACAGTAACGGATTTCTTAGCAGAAGATGGAAACAAAACAATTCTTTTTATACAAATTTTCATTGTAAAACTGCGTATAACGGTTTCAGCTACAGAAATATAGTGTAGTAATGCATTTGCTTCGGATGATTTTAGAGAAACAGAAAGGATCAAGCCATATAAATCTATTAAGATCATCGCAAGAGGCAGACCTAACGATTTCTATTTCCACTGGTGCATATTGGCAAGAATATTTTTCTTATATTTTCCCGGGCCTGTCCCTAACGATTCTATGCATATAACTGCCATTGAATTTAGCAATTCGATATTTTTGCATGTATTCCAATGTACACACCTGTGCCATATTTATCATGTATATTCCAGTTTCACAAATACAAATATTGAATATCCAACGAACAAGACGTCGTCAATAACAAAAAAATATACAAAGATGAGATTTGAACTTCGAAACAGTGTTAGATAAATTCATACCACCTTTATAAAGTTATAGACAATGCAAACATTGGAGTTGTAAGTTAAGGTGTGTTGCTGTCAATCTTAAGTCTCTGACGCTGTGTATAAAAATATATCATTGAATTGCGAGCGTACTTTAAAGGGAAAATTTTTGGACAAATAATTTTTAGTTAAGCTTGATTTATTTGGACAAAATATTGAAATTTCAGAATTTATACTGGGAATAAACCCACCTGTGTCCGGATAGTTTTCATTTGGTACAAATTCGCAATTGTATACGAAACGTACGTATGGAACACACTACGCAAGCAAATAGGTCGGCAGGACTCGCTTCTTGAATACTGTTGTGCGGTAGAACAACTGAAAAATGGACCCCCCAGGCGTATTATTTAACCCAGTGGCGCACGAACATTTTTAAAAACGCGATCTTAGTTTGTAAGGTTACTTTTTTCGGCTCCCAATATAGAGGGTGCGATGGATGAATTGTCGTCTAACTTCCGCAAAAATGAAAATAATATTGACATCTCATTTTAACAGATATATTTGCCAAACTTGCACAAATATATCTTGGAATACTAAAATGTAAATTTATTCATTAAAATCGCCATTGGCTTCAACTTCCAGACAACTTTGGAATCTTCTACATCTCTTCTGGAAGGTCTCCTTGTTTAAGTTAGTGAATGCCGCCATAATCCTTGCCTTCTGATCATATTTGGTGCTATAAGTAATTTTGTTAGTCTCTCGATCACTCATAGTAATCAAAGTGATTGCAGTCTGGGGTGTTAGGTTGCTAGATGTAAGGGGTGATGTGGTCTCGGAAATTATCTGACAGCCATGACTGGGTTCTCCTGCTTGTGTGGAATGGTGCAGAATCATGTTGCCAAACATAGGGTCTTTCAGCAACCACCCTCTTGACCTCCTCAAGGCACATTGATGTAGGCCTCCGTTTTGAGTCTGAGCCCCCCCCCCAAACAAATTCGGGAGTTCCTTTTTAACAGAATGATCAGAGTGAGTTTCCCAGCTGCCGTACCTTCGTAATCATCATTAGACTGATCCAACTCTTTTCGAATCCTCTGCACTGTCCTTAGATTAACACCCAAACACTCTGAAATGTTAGTATTGGAGTTTCCGGCGCGAATGCATGCTGTTTCGAAATTTCTTGCGAAGCGAATTGCATCAGGGTGTTTTCTCACAAAAGTCGACAAACGCAAAAACAACGCGCATGCGCGAAATTAAAAATATAAAATGGCGACAATTTACCCGTCACATCCTGTAGTTTTGGTAATATATAACTTAATACTACGTGCCCCATGGTCGGGTCATGAACGTCTAAAACCGTTTTCCCCACCAGGCTTATTTGATAAGCAACGTGGATAGACATCTGGCCAGATTAAAAACAACACCTGTCAAAGGGCGGATGAAACTTCATATGGTGTCAACGATAGCGCAATAGGGTAGACAAGACTCCATATTTATATATGTAACCAATGCGGTAATGAAACGTCATCGCTGGCGGATGGGTGCCTAGTCACTGGGCTGAAGATTAAATGGATCAGCAGACTCTCAAAGAAGGAAGAAACGCGAAGACTATTTTTGAAAAGTGTGTCACTGTTCAAAAGAAATTACACAGAAAATTACACATTTTCTGTAATTTATTTATTTATTTATTTTCAAATAATTATAATATAAATTCTAAAAATAGAATCAGATTTGATATCGGACTTACCGGCCGCCTACACGGTCTTTTAAGTAAGTTTTGTTTTTAAGTCATTTCACCACAACGAAAGGGATAAATCCACTAAGACGCAAATGGGAGTTAATGAGTGTTATAGTGGAACACACCTATTCTATTGTTAATAGACTCACCCACCTATAATAAGTAGGAGTAGCAGTCGCTGAAGGAGTTGGTCAGCCAGTCGATGTCGGACGACCGGCTGAACGGTTGAACTCCGTAGGGCGGAGGCTCTTTCGGAGAGGTAAACCGACCCTGAACCCGTTTATACGGTTTCAAAGGGCATATTTTTGGCCGAGCCCACGGGCTCGGAGATCCCACGTTAAACCGGCCTTGTGCCACATGATTCCCTCGTAGTGACTAAATACTGTCAGTCAGTCGATGTCGGACGGCCGTTAGTCGGATACTAAAAGTATCAGCGACCACCACTAGATTTCTCTGCGTCATTACCTATTATATCAAGTTCCTAACGTTTTGTACGTCGAACCTCTTTTAGGACCGACTTAGTGAAATACAAGCCTCCACTGTGAAACTACTCTACAACAATGAGTGTGAGAGAAACTGAACTGAGAAGACGTTCCTGGGGAGAAACGACAATACAGAGAACAACATCCAAAGCAAGACATAACGACAATTGGCGTTGCATTTAGATTTTGTACATTGTATTTGGCTGGAAAGCAATAAATTAGAAAAGAGGTCCATAGACAAAAAAAATGCAGGAGAAGAAACTATCAGAATAGAACTTACTGTTACACTTATCAATTTCAACCAAAAAAATGATGAGACCTAGCTGCCAATCTAGTACGACGCTTAAAATTCATGGAATTGAGTTATCGATTGGGAAAGCTCGTCAGAATAACTGCCACGAAACTAATTATAGAAAAGGGACAGGGAATTTATATCATGGCGATAGGAAAGTGATAGAAGTTGAGATGCCAGGTCAAGACCGATATCGTTGCAGATTCTTTGGATTTTATCAAGAATATCTAAATACAAAAAAAGAATATGTACCAACAATATTCAATACACTGACGAATGGTAATCTTATAAATATTCAAAATAGATTCGAGTGAGAAATACTATCAGGACACAGTGAACCAGTTTTCTTAGCCGCAGGCATAACAGTTGACTCGATAGAATTGACATTCAAATAAGTTTCCTCAGATTATTTAAACGACATGGATATGTTTAAGTTTTACTATTATATATGAGTGTGTGTGTGTGTGTGTGCGCGCGCGCACGCGCGTATGACATAAAATAATTGGAAAACCAACCTTCCTGCTACCGTAGTTTCTACCAATCAGGTATCGTCAAGCAGTAAACCTGGATATTCCACCCCAAAATACTCTTACAAACATAATTATGTCGATGGTAAAGGGGAGAAAAAAACAAAGAATGAGAAGAAAAAAATTACGTTTTATATAAATTCTCCTACCAAGATTCACAGCTTTTCATTATTTTAGCCGTTTTTTTTTTGTTTTTTTTTTTTTTGACAAATATTGCTTTTTGTTAAAAGACGGCTATTTAATTATATATATATATATATATATATATATATATATATATATATATATATATATATATATATATATATTTATTTGTGTGTGTGTGTGTGAAGGTGAGACTACGAGAGTATTTCAGCGTTTGAGAGAAGTGCAGTCATCTTCAGTTGAATTTCGGTCTTCTTATTGAATAGCGCCAGCGTGGATAAGAGAAAGCATATGGGTGATTATGGTTGGCGTCCTTTTCATTTCTGTTCATCGAACAAAATACAAATCAGAATCTAGAAAGAAAGAAAGAAAGAAAGAAAGAAAGATGGAAGGAAGGAAATGGAATGTCATAACTCGATACATTGGAATAAAGAAAGACACAAGGGAATGCAAGAAAAAGGAAAGGGAGGAAAAACCGTAAATCAAAAAAAAATCGTGTAAAGAAAGAAAGAAAGAAACAAACAAACAAAGAAAAAGATACTGAAAGAAATGGAAAGCTTTAAATCAATATAAAGTTTTAAAAGGAGAGAAAATAAATAATCTTAGGAACATATAAGTAGACAAATAAATATCTGAAATATGAAGGAATTTAGTAAAAAATGGGATGAAATAAAAATACAACAAATCGTGTAAAATAAGAACGAGATGAAGGAGCAACAAAGGAATGAATGATTAAAAATTGTAGGCATGAAAGCAAAAGAACAAATAAGAAAGAGAGAGAGAGAGAGAAAAAACCGAATTAAATAAAAGAAAGAAAGAAAGAAAGAAAGAAAGAAAGAAAGAAAGAAAGAAAGAATTATCGGGGTTGTGAGAAAGAAAAGATGAAAGAAAGACCCGAATGAATTGAAGCCGTAAATCAATACATCTGGGTAAAGAAAGAAAGAAAGAAAGAAAGAAAGAAAGAAAGAAAGAAAGAAAGGATCAGAGAAATTGTGAAAAAAAGAAAGAAAGAAATTATGAGAAAAAAAGAATGAAAGAACTGTAGGAATTATGAGAAAAATAAAATGAATCGAAGGAATTATGAGAAAGAAAGGTTACACAAGACGAACCATAGTTGATAATATTTATTTTAGTTAGAAAAAAACATTTATTTTGAATTCTATAAAATGACTTATAAAGATAGATAGATAGATAGATAGATAGATAGATAGATAGATAGACAGACAGACAGACAGGGAGTGATAGCCGTACTTTGCATTAACAAGTTTATCTAATTTTTATCGACATCAGTTTCGCATTACGTTTGGGTTGTGACAATCGTGTATTTTCAGTTCTGTCTTTACTAAGTGTATTTAATGTCCTTGCACTACTGTCTGCTGTGTTCCAGATGTCTCGCTGTACAATCACCGACAATGTAGGATTAATTAGGACCAAAATTACAGATGGGAATAAATGGGGGAAAGAAAAGAAGGTTTATAAAATTGAATTGCATGGGATCATGCATTTCTCTGTTTCGCTTGTTCTCCTTTCAATCTAAATAAATCTCAGTTTGATTTTAGAATTTGCAGGAATTAGCAGCATCAACTTGTTGACCAATCCTGCATCTACACATCTGGAAGACGGTTCTTTATTCCAAACGAATTGGACGCATAGTCACGCGCCACTAATCACTTAACGCTCCGCTTCCTGTTCATCCTCTTTTATGTGAAGTCGGTCTGTATCCTGTAATGAAACACGGCTCCATACAATTATATTGCAGCCTCCATGTTTCCTAGCTGAGATGGTGTTCCCTGGCTGAAAGTGTTTGTTCTACTTCTTCTTCCAAGCTCGATAAAAAGAACTGAGACGAAATACCTCTATGTAGGTCTCATCGGGAAACATAACAGACGCGAGGGGCAAAAAGTGTGGGAAAGTGTTTCGAAAAAAAAAAACCTTAAAAGTTGATGGTTGCAAGCCTTTTTTAAAAACTAATTTACTAGCTCACTTCGGACCAGAGGGACAATCTCTTCTTGAAGAGTGTCATCATATATTCAATAATAATAATAATAATTCATAATTGTCCTTCTAGGTGATGAAGACTTGAGACCAAAATCTACTCTTGTATTTTACCCATACCTGAAAGCCAAGACAATAATTCCTGTCTTTCCCACAATCACCTAAACATTCAACTTTGCAGACCTTTTTCAAAACTAATTTACTAGCTCACTTCCGGCCAGAGGTACTTCCGGAATGCTTTTATTATATATTTAATAATAATAATATCCCATTACTGTATAAAGTTTCCTGAAAATTTTATTTTTTTTTACCTAATCTACCTTGCTGACCTAATGTTGATCTTAGGTTTAGCAGCTTTTAAAATTAGGTAATCCCTCTTCCAAAAGATGGAATCCATGTTCTAATGGGTTTAATAGTTTCAGAATCCTAGTTTCAGTCACTCAGTAATGTGCCATGCGTGATACACGCTTAGGCGATTATGTATCTATAAGTCCTTATTCTTATTACTCAATATTAAGTATTGTAATAAAAATAAAAATAAATTTTAAAACTCTCCCTTCCCTCTCTAAACTCAACAATGTCTCTTACACTATTCCTCACCACCTTCTAAGTTCACCTTATATGAGCTTAATACTGCCCTTCAAAAGCGTAAATTTGAAATTCATTTTTTCAACTTTGAAAGTGAATTATGAAGATCCAGAGAAAAATAAAAATCTCTGGTGAAATAAATTATAACTAATGGAAACTTAAAGTGATCTGTTTTATCTTTAAATTAAATTATTCGCTCTGACTTAACATTGAGCTCTCCGGATTCCATCATTCTTGGGATTATCCATACGGATTACCAAGATTTTCGTTATATATATATATATATATATATATATATATATATATATATATATATATAAGCATATTTTCATACAAACAGGTCTGCTTAAATAATTCAGACGTATTATGTCTATTTATTTTATTATTTAACCAAATCTGCTTGAATATATATATATATATATATATATATATATATATATATATATATAGAGAGAGAGAGAGAGAGAGAGAGAGAGAGATAATATGAGTGGTAAATATACATACATATGCAAAATATATAAATACCCATACATGTATATTTTTTGAATAAAAATTCCAAGAGGATAGAATCCAGGTAGAACTTAATGTCCAGGACAGAGTAAGGATATAATAAAAAGGCTTAAACACTAATATTCCATGGTCATAATTTATTCCATTGGAATCGTAAATACGATCCAATTCATCAGACCTACAAATTCAAAAAGAAAACAGAAAAAACAACTCCAGAAATAAAAACAGAATTTAGAGAGAGTGTAAGTATGAGGAGGAGGGAGATTAAACCTTAACAGAGAGAATTTTAGGAGAGGTGGGTGGAAGGGGTTTAAGTAAGAGTAAAATGATTGTCGGATGTCTAATGCATAAAGATACATTTCGTGGTGACATACACACACCATAGACAATCTAATGTTAGATAAGAGGGAGGGAAAGACGAGGTGGGGGAGAGAGATGGGGCGAAGGAAAGTAAAATTGCGTTTACTTAAAGGGCCGCTTTGTAATTGAGAAAATTTGACAAATTTAATATCGACTACAGGTTACAAATCAAATATAAACATATAAAAAATAAATATAACGATTATCTAATCCAGCAAGGACCTATATTTCTATGTTCAAAAACACATGCGAATACACACATACACAGTAACATATACACGTATATACATACACATAGGCGTGTACCCACATACACACATACATATACCCATGTACACACATAAAAATATAAAATATATATATATATATATGTATGTATGTATGTATGTATGTATGTATGTATGTATGTATGTATGTATGTATGTATCATGTGTGTGTGTATATATATATATAAAAGCGCATATATAGGTACTTCGAAGTGTCTCTTTGCTAAACCAGTTACGACTGAATAGTGAGTTCGATCTTCACTGGTTACTCCTTGCTTTCGGCCTTGTGACACATCTAAGGTACGCTTCGAAGATGGCCATATAAGTGCGCATGTGAGTGCAAAAATTGAAACATGTTTTTTATTTTTATTTTTTTTTTTTTTTTAATTTTATTTTTAGTTATTTTTCAGTTGTGCCATTGTTTTATTTTGAGTTTATTGGCAACAAAAAGAGAAATCTTCAATCGCTGATAGAATAATTATCAATAAATCTAATTTATTTCGATATTCAGATATAGCGGCATTTCCTTAGTGAAAAAAATCTTTTTTATCTGTTTAAGATTTTCAGTGTACACTACGCTTCTGTGTAGAAGGAATCCGAGGTTGACTTTCTTGCTTTTTCGAGAATATTTATAATTCCGAGGGTGTTGGTTTATTTTTTTTTAAACTTTCATTAAATAGTTTGTATTGGAATTCGATTTAAAATGCAAGTGGATGGTGATTGATTATAAAATCAATATTATGCTCTGGGCTTGATACACTTTCAGTCATCTGTACTAGTCAGTTGTTAATTATGTCGCAGCCAACAAGAGGAACAGAGTTAATCATTTTAACCAAAGCAGAAAGAGGTTGTAGGAAACAGACGATAAGAGGAATTGAAGAAGACAAAATCAAGAAAGAAAAAAATAGATCCATACAAAGAGAGATAGAAAATAAAAAATAGAGAAAAAAAATTAAATCTCAGGAAAAGAAAACCTCTTAGACGGGTTGGGAAAGGGCGGTGGGACTTCAAGAAAATGGGGAAATTTGAAGAAACATAGAGTAAAGAGGGAAAAAGAGGGATTTTTTTATTGGTATCACCCCATGTTTGATTCTAGTGTTCCCGACCTGCTCATCGCATTTCGGGCTCATCCTTTTACTGATGACCATGCATTCTGTTTTCTTGTAGTTTAAACTTAGTCTTTTCTTCACACTCCCCGTCGCTACCTTCTGTAGATTTTATCATTTCTTTTCCGTGTCTGCTATCAGTACTGTGTCATCTGCGTATCTTATGTTGTTAAGATTGTGGCCGCCAATGCTAAATCCCGATAGGGTTTCGATTTGGAAGCGTTCTGACAGAGGACGTTAAATGCAACACTGAGGTCCGTAGACGTATTGGTATGGCCAAGGACGCATTCCAAAAGCTGGGAAAAGTATTGCGAGACAGGAGAATTTTTTTTGGTAACAAAGAAAAAACACTGAACTGTTACGCGACCTTTGTCCTGTCTTACGGCAGCGAATGTTGGAAGACAGCCACAAAAAAAAAGAATAGACTCGAGGCGACGGAGACGTAGTTCTGCAGGAGGATGCTGAGGATATTATGGACCGAGCGTGTGAGCAACTCTGAGGTCTTAGAGAGAATTAAAACAAGGAGTAGGTTTATACTTAAATTAAGGAAGAGGCAGCTGAAGTTTCTGTAACACAAAATGAGGAAGGAGGGTCTGGATAATCTGATACTCACAGGTCGAATAGAGGGAAAGATAGATAAGAGAAAACAACGCATGACCTACCTAGCGGCTTTAAGCAAGTGAATGACAGAACGTGATCTGGTGGGAGATGATAGAGGGAAGGAACTTGTTGAAAGCTGTATGAGATAGAGGGAGGTGGAGAGCCATGATCGCGTACGACCTGAAATAAAAATAAACCTTATGCAGTAATGCCTTGAGATACGACCGTACTGAGATACAAGCGTACCGACATACAAGTTTTTTTTTTGGTTTTTCTTAAGTGCGTTAAATACTCTCACCAACACGCAAATATCCCAGCCTGGTGTGTACGGCTACACACCTGAAGACATAGTCAAAGAAGAATATAAAAGAATCTTGACTGAACACCTTTGTACGTAGCACAACGTTACGGTTAAAAATCACCTTGAATAATTGTCACAATAAATGGCAGAAAACATTTTAGCATTAATTAAAATAAAAAAAAAACAACAGCAACATTTTAAGAGTGAATAAAAGCATCGACAATGGAATAAGGAAAAGTACAAACTAAGGTATTATCTTACTTTCAACTTTAAGCGTGAGTGTTTTGTGCAGGTGTTTTTTGGTTATTTTTTTAATCGGTATTACCTGCTGCAAGGCACTAAAGCCACTAAGACACAAGGGATTACAGGATGTGGAAGAATTCGCAACAGAAACATTAATAATGGGCGGGAAGAGAAGACAGTAATCAGGAGGAGAGTAGATAACGATTGACATTGCATTCAAACTTTTACACAACGAGGTAACCTTACGCCGCTGTGAAAGGTGACTGAACCTGAGCCGCCAG